TCAATTTGACAACTGGTTTTTCCCCAAAGGAGAGCGATTAACAACAGATTTGAGTGTATGACTGGTAGCATTTAGCTGAAGCCAAGTGAGGTGTAATAAAGTAATAACCAAAGATCAGGGAGTGCGGGCGAGGTCGATCGAAGGACGATCTTGCTCCAACTGTGTAAGTTTCATGTGATAGGAAGTCAAAATGCGCGCGATCAGATTTCGAGTGTCAGAAAGTCCAAACGCTGCTTTCCATTCATTCTTAGTGAGTCCAAACGAATGCTGGCTACTTACGAGCCGCGCATGCATAATAGCAATCTGGAGATTAGGTTTGCATGCTCTTTTGGGCGTTCGCAATTAAGTTGTACTTTCTTTCAGGCACTTATTGGGCGTGGTGTTAGAAGAGCAGAACGAACACGAGGCTGCCAGTGAGTGCCTTATGACAGCTCTGGACTTAGAAGCTACACACCCCGTCTTACCGTTTACAGTCATCCCACGGTTCTTGTAAAACGCGAGAAATCGATCCAGTGTACACCGAGGCCACAAGCTAAGCACTGAAAAGCATCGGAGTTGGCGGTTGTTTCTGTGATTGGGAGATGTTGTGCGCAACAAGCTAAGGACTGAAAAGCATTGGCAGACTTGGCGGTTATTGCTGTGGCTACGATCTGTTATGCGCAACAAGATAAGCACTGCAAAGCATTGCAGTTAATTCTGTGGTTGCGAGATGTTGTGCGCAACCAGCTAAGGACTGAAGTGAACATTTGAGTTGGCGGTTATTTATGTAGATTCCATCTGTTGTGCGCAAGACTGTTGTCGAAGATGTGACCAAAATGATCCATGCGTTATTCTCAGGTAAATGACTGGACACAGAAAATGATGAGAAACTGGAGGAGTTTACGCTACAGTGCTTTTGTATCAAAATGAAAATAAAGTTCTTTTTTTTTTGTTTATTCATGCTTCACTGTTTGCTCGCGGTGTTTTGACAAGCGAATAACACTCATCTCCATAAATAGTAGACGTCATGAGTTGCCGTGCTGAGCAACCATATAGTCTTACAGAACCTAATTAACATACTTAAACGGACACCTTATTTCTAGAGCTACGACTGGAATCGTCAACTGAAAGTGCAATTCTATGAAAAGGTGCCAAAAAAAGATGGAAATGGAAATATGGTGAGGAGTATTTCTCTTCTTCGGGCTTCAAAAGCATTAGAAAATCCCTGTACCTGTCAAGGCATGCTGGCATGCTGCCATTTTATCGCAGGTTTAAAACTCAAATGAAACGAACCATTCCTCTTTTAGTAGAAATAATATTAAGCAGAAACAAAGGACATCGCTTCCGATCCCATCAGAGATTTTCTGTTACCGTCCAATTGAAACATTTTTATCTTTTAACGGTTTTGCATAAACAACATTCATGCAGACGTCAGAACAATGCTGTCCTTCCTAAACAATCCCTCTTTGTCTCTTTCCGCGAACTCTTTGCCTCATTTCTAAGAATTTCGTTTTCTCTTCCGGTAGGGCTGTTTTTCAATTTAACGCGATCTGATTGGTTTAAAACGGATCGTTTTCTGAGAATCAGACCACCTTTCAAAGAATAGGTTTCTGCATTCCTTCTTCCATGAGGAAATAGCTCTCTCTTCTTGTACAATTTTATGCTTCAAGGCATTAAAAAACAAAAAAATGATGCAGCTTCAGGAAGCTGGGACACTGAAGATTAAGTAAGGTATGTTATAGTTACATGGAAACCGCAGGAAAGGGTCCAGTTGGTTAGATAGACATTACATAACGTCCATAAACCACATTTTAGACCGGTCAGTAAATTAATAGAGTGTTTTTCGGGTATTTTGTTTAACCAGAATTCAACAAGGGACACGACTAGCAGCTGTTTGGTTCTTCACTGCAGGTGAGTTTAGCAAAGGAAAAAACAGGATGTTTAGTTTTGTGTTTGAATTTGAATCGCTGGAAAGTAAATATGAAATCAAGACCCGATTCAGATAAACTTTGATTTTTACCAGCTTAGTGATAACATGAATGATATTTAGACAAGAATTGACGTACCGAAACCAATAGCGTAAAACTTTTGTTATGAAGCCTTCATTTGACTGCGATAACATGAACGGTGCTCCAGACGTAATCGAGTAGATAAGGATCTAGTTTGAACTTTTAATGTGAGCTAAGTCGCTTACTTTTGTATTTTCGACTCAGTTAAACCAGCTGGTTAAACTTGTCTTAAGTGCGACTTCGTTTTTTTTCGTGTTTTCGATCAGTTACTAAAGTGCACACCTCTTTAAACCTGCATAGTTTTAGCGTCTGACGGATAATATGCTCGAATAACCGATTATTATGGTTTTCGGCATCGCCCGCAAAACAAGGTAAAACTCTTAAAGGTATTATGCCTCTATTTGAGCCGGTCTATAAACCACACTTTCTTCCTCGTACCCACTAAACATTCCTACACAGTCCTTGATATTACTGGAAACCTGGCCTTGCAGGTAATCAGTCGGAGGTAGTCGACCGTATGCCAAAATGCTCTTGACACGAGGACCTCTTTTGAGGTGGTCGGTGCATTCAGCTCCTAAAATGATCACGCTTTTATGAACTTTGTAAATCCTTGCTGGCGCTAACCGTGGAAAAATTAGTACAGACAACAATATTCAAATCACTGTAGTACAATGTCTGATTATGCTTAGACCAAAACTGTTTGTATTGTGCTGACATTACATATATTTCGGCACAATGCCAATATAATATTGCTAAAAAAATATTCCCGCCGGCTTATTCATGTGGTTCACTATACCGATAGTTTGTCCGCTGTTTGAACCGAGAAAAAGTCGGAACACAAATGAACTTAAGCCGTAGCAACACTCGAAAGTTTTTTTTAGTGCATGGTATAGCCTGGGCCATTTTGTAAATGACGATTTGCCGAATTCAATTTTTTTCTTCGTGGACTAAAAGGAATGCATGGACGAACTTGGTAAGTTCGAAAAATATCTGTCATATATAGAATAAGGCAAGACGCCGGTGCTTTTGTTCAACGTAAGCGAAAACTTCTTGAGCAACAGAATTTCCCGAGCTTCTGCAATGCGATTTACGGTCATATTTTCGACTCAGGAACTGGATTAACCAAGCCGAACCACAGAATAGCTTTACCAGTTTGGGTTTGGGTTAGCAAAGTTTAGGAACAAACAGTAAACGAGAGTAAGACCCTGTTAGGCTAAAATTTGCCATTAAGGCCCAATCTGTACAAGAACCTATTTAGCCTAAAATTGAAACAGGTTCTTACACTCTAAAATCTATAAAAACCAGTTTGTACACTTGGGCTAATAAGATAAGTCGACAACATTCAGGATCCTTTTTGGAGACATAGGTGCCTCATGCAATGTAATGGTTTTCAGATTATATATAAGGAATAAGCTATATATATATATATATATATATATATATATATATATATATATATATATAT